GAGGTTCCGAACGCCAGCTGTGAAGCTCTGGCTTTGTTTTGGAAGCTCGGGGCGTAGTGACAGCGCGCCCCTGGCCCGTGCTGTGCAGTCGACGTGCTTAACGGCGACGCTTAAACTTTCCTCCACCCTCCTCAAGCACAAGCGCCCGGTGCCCGCGTGGCACACGAGCCTACGGCTCGTGCCGACGCGTGCGTTTGGCTGCAGTCCGCGACTGTTGCGCGTCGCTCACGACCCTTCTTCGACTCGTGCTTAAGATGTGCCCTCCTTCATCATCGTCGGTTAAGGCCGCCTTTTAAAACTTGAGCAGCCAGGCTTCGATCAAACATGTTCGGCCTGCGATGATGACGTCACGTTCTTTGTGCATGACAGCCCACCCCTTTCCTCCTCCCCCAGCAGGCCACCACCACCACCCACCCCCAGCCGTGAGCCACCCCTCTCTGCCCCGGCCCAGCCCGGCTGTGGCCCGGCCCGGCTCAGCTCGACCCGTCCCGCTCGGCTCGCCCGCGACGGCGTGCTCGGCTCGGCAATATCGATTTCCGCGGCGCGGCGTGGCGTGGCGGTGGGGGCGCGTGTGGACACGTGCTGCACGCACTGCACGGGGTGCAGCCCGGGGCGGCCGCCGGCCCGGCCAGCTGTGATACAAAAGCGACCCGGCCCGGCCCAGCCAACCGCTCTTCTGACTTGGGTACGGCGAAGGAAAACACACAGCAGCGCTCGCCGCCCATTCCGGACATTCGAAAATAAAACTCGCGATGGTTGCCTTACACTGGGCTTTCTTTTTAGAGATGCACCAGAGCTGGGCCGCACCCTTGCCTGCGTACGCTAGATTCGCACAAACAGCTCAAATGGGCCGGATTATAATGTTCTTATTGGGTTTTTTTCGGGCAAGTAAATGCCACGCCTCTACCCGAGCAGGTACATTTCTAGTGATTGAAGGGAGGGGAGGTGTGCAGCGCTGACACGACCCCCTCCCCCCTCATCTCTCTCGCTGACCGAGCAGCCAGTCAGTCTCTCTCCCCCTCGGGTAAGCTGGCCAAAGCTGTGAGTTCAGCAGCAGAGCAGGGAACCCTGATAACTGCCTGTCGACGCCGGAGTGGCCCGGCCGCCCGCTGTCGCTGACGCACTCGCCTTTGCATACGAGGGTTGGCGAACGCTGCCCCCCTCCCCTACCTCCCCCTCCCCTCCCACGCCGCGCGCTGCGTCGAGCTCGCGCCGCATCTGAAATGCTAATTAATCGGCGTCGCGACGCCCCCCCTCGACGCTACGCTACGCCTCGCCACCGCCGCGGGACTTTCGATCAATTTCTTATTCATCAGACGTTGTCCGCCGGTAGCAGACGCGGCGGTGGCGGCGGCTGCACGCCAAAGTGTGAGAACCACGTGGCGTGAGAGAGACAGACAGACGGGTGGGAAGGGTACCGCGTGAAGGTACCCTCTGCCTTCCGTGCGCAAGGAGCTGCTGCTGGAGGGAGCAGTAGCAGCAGCAGCGAGAGGGGGACGGGAGGGGGCTGCGGTCTGCTTGGCCGGTACCGACGCACCTGAGGTACCCGCTGCCGGCCGTAAGTACCCATCCCATACCCGGCCACTCCCCGCTCTGCTCCGCACGCCTGGCGCGCCCGAACTCGTCGTACTTTTCGACTTCCGGCGGCGGCGGCCGCGTGCATCTCTCCCGAGTACATTTTTCTCTCCTTGCCTCCGTCCTCCTCCTGCAGCCATGCCCCAGCTTGTATTTTCATTTTTAGGTATGTTTTTCCCCCCTGCTCGGAGTTGCTGCTTCCTTGTTGTCACATGCGTCGCGGCACTTCTCCCATTAGAGCACGTCTGCGTTGTGTGCAAACCGCGAGGAGTCGTGCGGTGTCGCTGGTGCAGCTCACGCCTACATACATACGCCGCCGAGAGAGCGCCTCTCCGC